AGTACGCTGGTCCGACGTTCCGTCGAGGTTATGAAACGTCACAGCGTGAACGAGGTATGTATCATATGCTCAGCTTTACGTCTACAACCAGCGCTTCTCACACACGTTCCTTCATCCCCGACCCATATTCATTTTGATTCTCCCTAAAACTCTATCACTTAAATCACTCAATGACGCCATTCATATCCACCACCGCTCCCCGTACCTCGACGTCACACGACATGGTACGGATTCCCCGAATACCTCGGGCAACCCAGGTCGTCCTCGAAACTGAATACGACAATGCCGCCGCCCTCTCTCTCTACGAATCCCTAGGATTTATCCGCGAAAAACGTCTCTACCGATTCTACCTCAATGGTAAAGACGCGTTTCGGCTCGTCCTCGCCGTCCCCCCGGACACAGATCAGAGCTCGTCGCCATATGGGAGAAGGGTGCCGCCCAGGGGCCAGCCGTTGAGTTATGTAGTTGATGACGATGATGATGAGTGGGCGAGCGGACGTTAGAGGGGCTTGTATGCGTGGAACACCCTGCCCCCCGCCCCAACCCCAGTACATGATAATTCACAAACGACACGCGACTACCTTCATATAATACCCCCATCGCCCTCGCGGTATCCTGCTATCCAACATACGCGCCCTACTACAGTATAATCCCTGCTCTGTTCTCCTCTCTCACATTTTTTCCTTCATTTGCAACTCCTCCTAACGCCCTCTCCATTGTCTTGTCTTGTCGAAACGATCGCTCCCTCTCCTCTCATCGCGTCCATCTTGTTCTTGCTCCCTCCACGCTTAATTCGTTCACCTTCGTATCCTGTTTTCTCCGCGTCCCTTTTACTCGCTATACGCACCTGACTGACTGATTTGACTCGATATCCATTATACCAACATACACCCGCGTCCTCGCGTCCGCCCTCTTGTCAGTTGTACATTATATCTATAGGTTACTTGATTGTGGTATTGTGTATAAAAATTGGGTTTTGTAGAGGTTCATCATTCATTGAAGTTTTAGACATTGATGTTCAATGGTTGGGTGGGACTTGTGATCGTGACTGGGGAGCCATGTAGATTTAACGCAAGGGAATCAGAGTGCATGACTTGCGATCAATCGGACACATCATCGAAGTGAGAAGACCCGAGGCAATCACGACCCTAGCCAACCCAAACCAATGGAAAACTCAATCACACGGATTCACACCAAAGGATGGCCAAACTATGATGCTTCTAGTTTATCGTACCCGATATACAGTTTTTGAGAGTTCAAAGAAGAAAGCGGAACACGGGATCCTCCTCCACGAGTCAACAATAAACATATGCGCAAACGCGTTCCCTCCATCTAGGGAACTAGAGCTCATCGTGGTCATAATAAGGCTCGTCGTCATCCTCCGAAGCCCCACCCGCTCCTTGGGCGTAAAGCTTGCTCGTGATAGGCGACACAACGCTCTGAATCTCTGCCAACTTCTCCTCGAGCTCTTCCGTCCCTGCACTCTGCCCGTTCTCATCGATCCACTCAGTGGCTTCCTTGATAGCAGCGAGGATAGACTTCTTGTCGTCGTCGTCAAGCTTCCCGCCCAGACCAGTTTGGTCACCAAGCTGGGACTTGAGACCGAAGACGAAAGAGGAAAGGGAGTTGAGCGACTCGATGCGTTTACGGTTCGCTTCGTCCTCCGAGGCGAATTCTTCAGCCTCTTGGACCATGCGCTCGATGTCCTCCTTGGACAGACGTCCTTTTTCGTTGGTGATAGTGATAGACTCCGATTTGCCACTACACGTCACAGTATCAGTTGCTATTCATGAATGAAAGTGATGGAAAGTCTACTCACGTTCCCTTGTCAGCAGCGCCGACTTTCATAATACCATTGGCATCAATCTCGAACGTAACCTCAATCTGAGGAACACCACGAGGCGCAGGGGGAATACCAGAAAGCTCGAACTTGCCGAGGAGGTTGTTATCCTTCGTCAATGACCGCTCACCCTCATAAACTTGAATGAGGACAGTGGGCTGGTTATCAGCAGCAGTAGAGAAGATCTGGGATTTGCGTGTGGGGATGACTGTGTTGCGGGCGATAAGTTTCGTGAAGACACCGCCAGTGGTTTCGATGCCGAGCGTGAGAGGGCAGACATCGACGAGGACAACGTCTTCGGTGCCTTGTTCGCCGGAGAGAATACCACCTTGGACGGCAGCACCGTAGGCCACAGCTTCGTCAGGGTTGATACCCTTGGAAGGCTCCTTGCCACCGAAGTACTCCTTGAGGAGCTGTTGGACCTTGGGGATACGCGTGGAACCACCAACAAGGACGACCTGTTGATGACGAGGTCAGTACATGAAGTCAAGGAAGGGAGATAGAGCACAAACCTCATCGATGTCTTCCTTCTTGACATTGGCATCCTTGAGAACCTGCTCGACGGGCTTCATGGTCTTACGGAAAAGATCCATGTTAAGCTCCTCGAATTTGGCCCTCGTGAGGGTCTCCGAAAAGTCGTTGCCGTCCTCGAAGCTCTCGATCTCAATCCTGGTGCTTTGCTGACTGGAAAGCGTCCTCTTGGCCTTCTCAACCTCACGCTTCAATTTACCCATAGCCCTGAGGTTGGGAGTGACATCAGTGCCGGTCTTCTTCTTGTATTGCTTGACGAAGTAGTCGATGACGCGGTTATCGAAATCTTCACCTCCAAGGTGAGTGTCTCCGGCGGTTGCGAGAACCTCGAAGACACCGTCGTCGATAGAGAGGAGGGAGACATCGAAAGTTCCTCCACCGAGATCATAGACGATAATTTGCGACTCGCCATCTTTCTTGTTAAGACCGTAGGCGATAGCGGCAGCAGTAGGTTCGTTGATGATGCGGAGCACCTGGAGACCGGCAATAGTACCAGCGTCCTTGGTGGCTTGACGCTGAGCGTCGTTGAAGTCTGCGCGAAACATTGAGCCCGGCGAACAAGTGGTAAGCTCAAACGAACTCACAAGCAGGGACAGTGACGACGGCGTGGGTGACCTTCTCGCCGAGGTAAGCCTCAGCAGTCTCCTTCATCTTCGTCAAGACCATGGCGCTGATTTCCTCGGGAGTCTATAACATCATTAGTCATTAGACCTTCAACATTTCATTCTACTAGACTTACGAATTCACGAGTCTCGCCCTTGTAACCAATGGAAATCGCAGGCTTCCCGCCATTGTCGACAACTCCGAAAGGCCAGTGCTTCATGTCGCGCTTAAGTTCTTTGTCGTCCATCTTGCGACCAATAAGACGTTTAGCGTCGAAGACGGTGTTCTCAGGGTTGGAGTGGAAAGCGTTCTTAGCAGAGTCACCAACACTGTAACAAAATGAGCATCGAGTCGCGCGCAAGAGAGGCGGGGACTCTTACAGTCGCTCGTCATCAGTGAAGGAGACCCATGAAGGTGTTATCCGGTGACCTTGGTCGTTGGCGATAATTTCCACGCGACCACCTCGTTGAACACTAGATGAAGAATTAGCTTCAACTACTCTCGCCGTGAAGCACACGGAACTTACCCAACACATGAATAACTGAAGTTTCGAGTCTCAAGTCAGTAAATCGAAAACTATGCTGTAACGGCTACATACGTTGTTCCCAAATCTACGACGCCCGAACCGTCAGCATACTCGCCACCGGATTCAACTGTCCATCTACTCACCAATACCGATCACAGTTCCATACTCGCTCTTCTTCCCCGCGTCCTGAGCAGACGCAGGCGGGCACAAACAAATAAGTGCCAAGAAAGCGAACAATATTAAAGAAAGAGAGGAAGCCATGCGGCGTGACTTTGCGCGTGATGGACGGCGTCGGTGTTGTGTGGACATCATCGTTAATGAACGACGAAGGGGACAGGGAGGAAAGGAAGAAGATGGTAGTTTGGTTAAAGAAACAAGACGAGGTAGGCTAAGTGACAGGTCTTTATAACTTTGCGTATTGCCACGTACACGTACGGAAAATATTTGGGACACGTCAACACTTTCATCTCGGGGAGGTTCCCGCGGTCAGGTGATCCTTCCGGGTTGCAGTGGCGCCAAGACAATCCCGATTCCGAGTCCATGATCTTCAGACTTGATGCTGATGCCTACCAGTGCGTGGACCTCGTGTTCCACGTCGATGAGCACCGCTAGCTCGTAGAGCTGTGCGATAACACGTAAGTCGATCTCGAATACACCACACTATTTGTCTAGTCTCCACTTACACGAGCAAGAAATGCTAAGTGAATCAGACCGCAAGACCAACCTCTCTCGCCGACAATGTTAGCATAAGTACATGCTCATGGAGAAGTACCAGCCGTCTTACTTCGACTCTTTCGTCTGCCTTGGGGGATAACTAGTACATGTTCGAGCTCGTATTCATAACTGTGAGTACCACCAAGACAGTCTCATCCCACAACCACGCCGTCTCCAGAAGGTCTCGTATTCTTCCTGCGTTCTCGGAAGGCCTAAACGCGGTGTTGTGGTCGGTATCTTTCTTTTCTCAGCGCCTATGCTTCGGCTTGTGCCTGCCACTGTTGTCAACGACGATCAAGCAAGAACGCAATGCACATCTTTGGCAGGTGAATACCACCCCCTCTTTCCCATCGGATCCCTCTTCCACTTCGTAATTCCACTCTCCTGGCCTTCAGGAGGGTGTAGCTTGCATTTCGGATGCCTGATGGAGCATTTGGTCCCGAAAGGAAGCACCCTCGAGCCCTTCACAAGAGCCGGCCGCCCAGCCCAGGTGAACACTTGGAGGCTATTAGTCTCCCGCATGATAGCTTCCGTGAACCTTCCGAAGGCACTTCTCGATCCGTCTCCGTAAGCGATAGGAAGGCTGATACTCATCAAGGAGTACGCGATATCCTCGTCGTCGTCGTTTGCTTCGTTGCAACCCACGCCATGTGCTTCCGGATGTCGAATCCACCAGCGCCTCTCACCCCCGACTGCCCCCACCCGAGCGCTAGTACAACAGCCATGGATCGCCACCAGTCGGAACCTGCGCCTTTTTTAGGCCGAGGATGATACCCATCACACATCGCCCCGATGGCTCAGTTGGTTAGAGCGCAGGTCTCATACGCACGTATGATCGGGTCTCAATCCGGGCAATCCTGAGGTCGCAAGTTCGAATCTTGCTCGGGGCAAGCGAGCTTTTTATTGCTGTTTTGTTCGTTTTTCGGTGGATTTTAAGTCATGTTATGTGGACTTTGCAGTCATTTTGTGGTTTATACTTGTCGATCTCATCAGCCACAGTGGGAGATTGTGGTTTCCCACGGTGTTTTCCAAGATGTGCTGAAGAGTACACCGCGACCAGCCTGCACACCACTCTAAGTTTGTCTCCTAGCCGGAATTAATTGATTTTCATCGTTTTCTCGATGGGACCATGATAGTATCTTATCTGGCCTGGTAGGCTGTAAAATCTGGTTCCGACACCCGCCTATGGTGGTTTAGCGTGAGCTCGAGAGCTTTCAGATTCTGAATCAGGTGTAAAATGTACTGTGGTCTGTATGTAACTTTCGAACACCACAGACCACGGTACAAGTCACACCTGAAACTGTTCTATACACAGGAGGCTTCCCATTCCTGCAGAAAACAAGAAGTCAATGGAAGAAACCAACCCTTTGTCTTCTCTTAAATCGTGGTTCTCTGCTCAAGGGGGATCGTTCGACCCATCTGTCGATCTCTCAGAAGGTTCTACGTCTTCCCAATATTTTTCCGCCTGCCGTTCATTGCTGTCAACAGGTCCATATGGCATATCGGTCTTTGTTCGAATCGGGACAGAGGGTGGCCAGCTCGAAGATACGACCATCGTGACCTGCCCATTCTCCTTGATCATCACAAAAGACGCCTCCCTGCGCGCGCTGGGAACCCTGCTGGGTCACGGTACCGAATCGCAATCTTCGCTCGAGACCTGGTCCGAAAGACAGCTTATCTGCTGCTATATATGTTTCCATTGGTTCTTTTCAGAGTCAAGGTCCACAATGATCGTTCCCTATGTGAGGCATAGCTCATCACTCGCTACACAGCTTGCCTCAGGTTTTGCGGCACCTCCCCTACATCAGGTGCCTTCCCGCTGCTGAGAAGCTGTCAACTCCTCTTCATTTCTCAGAGCGAGAACTTGAGCTGCTCAAGGGTACCAATCTCTTTGGAGCGACTCTAGATCGGGGACATGACTGGCGTACAGAGTGGGAGCAATGTCGATCCCTTGTCCAGACCGTAAACCAAGCATGGGGCGAATCGTTGACTTGGTGCTTTCACATAGTTCCATTCCTTATCGCTCACACTGACATAGGAACGTAAACCAGGGAAAGATATTTGACCGCCTCAACCCATCTCTCATCACGCGCGTTCCCATCGTCGATCCTCTCTGCCGAGCCTTCGCTAGTCTCCACTCCATCGACTTACCCAGTACTGCTTCCCGGAGTAGATCTGCTCAACCACAAGCGCGGACAGCGCGTGTCGTGGGAAGTGTCCTGTTCAGAAGCAAAACAAGGCGGAACCCTTTCGGGAACCGTATCAGTCATTTCGAACGAGGAATTAAAGGAAGGACAAGAAGTATTCAACAATTACGGGGCCAAAGCCAACGACGAGCTCATCCTTGGTTATGGATTCTCTTTACCCGATAACCCAGACGACAAAATCACACTTCAGATCGGTGGTGCAGGAAAAGCGCAAAAGTGGGAGATCGGAAGAAATGCGAGGAATGTCGAGGGTCTCTGGTCAGAAATCCGAGGCATGGTTTCAAGTGAAGAAAGCGAATACGAGTTCGAAGACGATCTAGAGGCTGCGAGCATCCTGTCGGAGATGTGTCAGGCGAAACTTGATGGCATGAAAACCGTCGCGGACGTGACAGAGGATGATGATGGGATTCGCCCAGGGGTGAAAGTAATGCTGGAGCATTATATAGAAGGTAAGTACCTGTTTCAATCGCCGTATGCTGCGGGTTTGATGAGGATCACGCAGGCCAACGAGCTATCCTGGAGTCGATGTTGAAATTTGCAGATGGAAAGCAGAAAGCAGCGATCGAAGAGGCGAGGGAGCAAGGAATCGACCTAGTCTTTGATGACGAATAGGGAGAGAATGAACCTTTGAGGGTAACCCATGACAACAGAAAAACTCTTCGACAAGAGAATCGATGAACGCTCGACGGGCCGCTTACGAACCCCGAGCCCATCATCCCCACACTGCTTCCCACATTTCAGCGTGTCCAAGGTGCGCACCATTATCCAATTGCAGAGGGGATAAAGCTCGGAGGGATGATCATTCACGTGGTCGGATTGGCCGGAACCAAATACCGCTGCTGTCAATAATCGGCTTCTTTTATCAACGCACCGGTCATGCCTTATACACGGTCACCACCTCGTCGCCAACGTCAATAAATGTGATGTGCACTGTGCACGCTGGCAGCATCCTCTAGCCGAGATCATGCAGTGGCTTATTATTCCACTGACACACGCGAAAGGAGCCCATGATCCCCCATGATATGAGGCCTTGGTTTCATGGAGCGACGATATACGACTTCTGGGGCAAATCCCACACTGAGCCCCAGGACCTGTCACCCCTGACTGATCAGCAATGAACTTCTCCTCGAAAACCTCGCATCAAGACGACCAGTCTTGTGATTCTCGGTGGCTCCCTGAGTTCTCGGGTTACTGGAGTTACAGGTGCCCGGTTGTCAGTTTCTCCAAGGCTCTAGGATATAAGAACGCCGTAAAATGACCCCTTATTGACTACCCTCCATCGAAAGTTCACGAAATCAAACCTCCAGTCTAATCCTTGCTCAACAATGAAGTTCCTCGCTTTATCTTCTCTTCTCTTGTCTGCCGTCGTCGGTGTCGTCGCGGACTCAGGTATCGCAACCTTCAACAATGTACGTGCTATTCTCCATGCTGAGATTGTAGCGCTAAAAGCACTGGACTCTAGTATGATGCTCAGGGCGGCGTAGCCTGCCCAGGTAAGTAAACTTATGATACCAAGGTGTAAATAGACTGAAATGGTCCCTCAAAAGGTTTTCCCTCGTCTAACAATCAAGGTAATGGTATCTACGCTGCAGCCCTCGGTGACCTATCTCCTCTCTGGACTGGACCCAAATGCGCCGGAAGCATCAACGGCAGCAACTGGTAGGGTGTCTATTCTTTTCCTCGAACAAGATTGGCGGTTCACTCCCCCTTTCCTGGTCCAGTAATGGCTCCGGAGGGTGCATCAACTGCACTGGGCGTAAGCGGCTCGCTCCGATCGACTTGAGTCTTGTATATTGACACATATGAAAGCTTCTTGCTCTGGCGAAGGACAGTGCGGAAACGTGAGTCGATCGATCCAGATATCATAGGTACATGATGTTGACGTTCTCCTAGTGCTTCTCGATCACCTGTGAGCTCATACACACCTCACCGTGGCTTAAATCATTGAAACATCCTGGATAGGCGCAGGATCTGCCGACGGTGAAACATCTGGGTCCTGCAGTGGCCAAAGTGTCAAAGTCAAGGTGGTCGATGCGTAAGTCAGAGGTCCTTCTCACCCACCGCTGACGCACAACGTTTCATACGCTCGACATTTTCGCAGCTGCCCCTCATCTCACCCCGAGAACTATTGCAAACTCTCCCAGTTCGGCGGTGTAAGTTCTCCTTCAGACTGTGGCTGGTCCTATGACTTAAACCATGTTTGCAGAATGTACCGGCCAATCAATGCTGCGAGGCCGCCGGTGTCAATGCTTTCGACATCGCGACATCTGCTCAGAGCATCCTTTCCAGCTATGTTAGTGCTGACTCCGCTATTACGATTGGACTTTCATAGTACTAACATCTCATCTCACCAGAAATACAACATTAACATCAACATCCAAGCCGTCTCGTGTTAACGGGCTTGATCGAAGGCTCTCCGAAACGTGAAGCGCAGGAGAATGTTTGCATCATGATTTCGATGCGGTAGTTGCTACATTTGTGATGTAAGGAGTGGAATGCAATGAACGTGTCAATGCAGTCAGTCATGCACTGACCCTGCTACATGAGTCGATCACCCCCTTGTCCCATCGGCCTTGGTTGGGATGATATTCAGGTCAGGTTCAAGTCCCAGACGGTAAATCCTGTTTGAGTTGTGGAAGAGAGCGTTTTGAACAATCAACACAGCTTGTTGTTGCGTGAGTTCTGCCCTGCGCACGGAATCGGAAAGAACCTGTGGGGCAAAGTCGCGTCAGGTTTGTTGAGATGTCAGTCCTTCGCAATGAGGAGGCACCTCGAATAATGCTTGGCGAGCCTGGATGCTTCCCAGGTAGTACGACTCGGGCCACCAGTGTCCGTCCGCTAAAAAAACAAGTCTGGTGAGTGGTACTGTGAAAGCTAGTCACAGTTTAAATCATACTTGACCACAAGATCCTGTTTGTCGGAGCCAGTTCCAAAACCTGACGAATGACAGCACGCTGACCATCCGCTGAGACAAAGGGGAAAATCTCGCCAAAGTCCAAGTATACATTTCTGTACACCGACGTCAAGTAGCCAGCATCTCGGGTATAAGGATAGCTCGAGTGCAGAAGAACGAAGGTCGTATTTGGATAAGCCTCGATGATGGATTGCATATGCGCAGGGGACGATTTGGTCAACCTGATATCGTTATCACCGAGACCTATTCATCCGCTGTGATATCATTTCTCCGCCAAACGGCTTACATATGTATGACTCACCTGTATGGAATTGCACTGAAGATGGACGCTCTTAGAATTTGTGTGGAAGTGTTTAACCTCGCAGGTACACACCTGGCTTTTGATGACTGCCCGCTATCTCCAGAACGATGCGGACCAGGTGATCATTGAGGGCCTTATGCTCGAAGCGAAGGTCTCCCTTCTGCTTGTATCTCTCCAGTGCATCCAGGACGGATTGCTGGACCTCCTCCGGTGTGCCTGACGTTGCTATGTCAAGCCCCGTTCTATGAAAGCCGGGCACGTCAATAAGAAGAATACAGTGAGGCGTCACTCGCATCGATACTTACCTGTAACATGCAACGGATTTGAAGCCGACTACCTCCTTATCCTCGGCGTTGGCGGTGATACTTTTACGGAACTCTTGGGTGAAAGTACCCAAGAGTTCTCCAACTGTTGAAGCTGTGACTTCGGTCGACCTAACTTCCAGAAGTTTCTTGAGGATGTCCTTAG